TGGCCCCCTACCCTAGTCCTGGGGCTTGAACTCTAGGCCTGGGCTCTGTCCCTGAGCTTCTTTTTGCTCAAGGCTAGCGCTATAACGCTTGAGCCACAGCACCATTTCCAACGTTTTTTTGAGTATTGGAGATAAGATTTTCCTGCTCTGGCAGGCTTTAAGCCGTAATTCTCAGATATCAGCTTCCTGAGTAGCTAGGATTACAGGCATGAGCCACCGGCATCCAGCTCCTCCCACTTCTTATACCAGGATTTCCCAGGTACCCTCAATTCTACCAGCTGTGAGCCATTCCCCCTGTTGGTAAACTCAGTGGCCCAGATTCAGCGCTTGGCCCCCTCCCTGTTCTCTGACCTCAGTGTGCACCTAGATGGCCCAGATCTTCTGTGGGGTTGTCCTCTACCTGCTCCTGTGTATCTGTGGGATATCAGAGGGAGGTTGGAGAAGAAGGGTCTTGTTTATCTGTGACTCAGACCCACACTTCGGGGGACTTTCTTTTTTCTTTTTGTCGGTTGTGGGGCCTGGGCACTGTCCCTCAGTTCTTCAGCTCAAGGCTAGCACTCTACTATTTGAGCCATAGCACCACTTCCAGCTTTTTCTGCTTATGTGGTGCTGAGGAATTGAACCCAGGGCCTCATGAATGCAAGGCAAGCACTCTACCACTGAGTCACTTTCCCAGCCCTCAGGGGACTTTGAAGGCCTTACTCCTTACCACACAGCAGCTCTGCCAACTATGCAAGAGTCGTCCCGGCCCCTCTTGCCAGCATCAGGGTCCCTGTCCCCAACCACCAGGCTACCTGGCCCCACCTGGCTCACCAAGCTGTGGGGCTTACATTCGGAGTGGAAGGTAGAGGCAAAATGAGCACTGTGGGCCTCAGGGTGGCTTCTGAACAAAACAGATGATGAGAATGACAACAAAGCTCTAGTGACATTCACTTTATGCACAGACATGACACTACCCTCAGCCCTCAGGCCTGTCCTTCAAGCTGAGCACTGGGCTTCAACACCAAGATAACCTTAGAGATGGCCCAATAAGCCTAGAGGACCTCTTGGCCCTATTTTATAGGAAATGAATTCTCAAAAGCCTGGGCTGGCCGTGTGCACTAATCCAACCATTCTCACCACAGGCTCCGGGTCACACCATGGGCAGGCTCTGGTTCTGAGGCCTGGGACTTTGGGGAGCAGGTCCCCACCCTGGGCAGAGCACCTCTGTTGGCACACAGGCGTTTGTGGCTCCTCAATAGCAGGCGACCTCTCATCACTGGCTGGCCGTTATTCGTGGAAAAACTCCTCACAGGGAATTGGGCCATTCATTCCTTTGCTCCTGGGCTCATATGCAATTCTCTCTCCCGACTTTCCTCTTCCTCTCCTCTCCTCTGTCTATCTCTCTCTCTCTTTCTCTGGCCTGTGTGCTGAGGTTTCTGGGTGCCAGGCCTTGAGGCAGGCATGGAGATTACAGGAAGGCCAGGGCCAGTGCTGAGGTAGGAAAGCCCACAAGGCACAGTGGACCTGCCGATGGGGTGGCAGGTGGCGCTTACCTAGAATGCAGGGCGATCCTGCCCTCCTGCTCTCAGCCAAGGGGAGGGAATGAGTTTATATCCCTCCCATGAGGCAGCAGAACCAGGGAGACCTGGGCTCCTATCCCTGGAGCCTTCTTCCCCCATGCAAGCTACCTCTGCCCTCTACTGGCTGTCAGGGTGCAGAGACACAACTAGTACCCAAGGTCTCTCCCCCGTGGGGCTGCAGATGACCAGGCCTGAGTCTACTTTCTAGCCTCTCCTATACTTGGCTTCCAAAGTGGCCATGTCAGCTGTGGGCCCTTGGGTGACATTCCTCTGGAAGTTTACACATCAAACATCCACAGGACATTGTTTCACGAGGAAAGATGCTGGATGAGGGATGCGTTGGGAGTCCAGGGCAGCCATCCTACCTGTCCCATGCGGAGTCCCACAATGGCACAGGTGTGGGCAGCGCTTTGTGGGAAGCTGCTGAAAGGTCTGAGTTAAAGGCCCCCCAAGGGCACTGGGTGCTGGGGATCCTCGCTGCTCGGGAGGCTGAGATCTGAGGATCATGGTTCAAAGCTGGCCTGGGCAGGAATGTCCCTGTGAAGCTCTTATCTCCAATGAACCACCAGAAAACTAGAAGCAGAAGAGGCCATGCTGGGTGAGAGGTGAGGACGCTGCCTCAGCCCTTGGGGAGCGGTGGGCATCTGGGTGTACTACACCACTGGCCATGGGGCCTGGCCTCTCAGGAACTGTGCAGGGACCTCCACTGATGGTTTGGGATCAAAGGACTTAGGATACTGATGACCTTTCCTGAAGTTAAAGGCATTCTAAAGACTGTCAGATACGGTTGTCATCCTAACTACTAGAGGCAGAGGTGGGGAGAATTATGGTCCGAGGCGATCTCAAATAAAAAGTTAGTTAGACCCTCATCTCAACTAACAAGATAGGTTGTGCTGGTGTGTCACCCCAGCGACCCTGGAGGCCGTGGGTAGGAGGACTGTAGTCTAGGCTGGCCAGGGCAAACGACCCACAAGGCTCTATCTGATAAATAATAACCCAAGTAAAAAGGGGCTAGGGACATTGCTCAAGTGGTAAAGCACCTGCCTAGCAAATGTGAGGCCCTAAGTTGAAATCCAGTACTGTAAAACAAATAAACAAACAACAACAAAACCAGGTCCCCTTACTTTTCTCCTGAAGTCTGAACACAGACTCTTTGCCATCTTGGGAAAGTGAGCTGAAGCAGCGGCCCTGGGCTGACCTGAGGCCTCCAGGGGGCGCTTTTCCCTGGGGAGTTTGTCAGACCAGCCGGCCCCCACTTCCTGTTCAATCATGATCCACTCTAGACACAGGGTCAGAGACACAGGGTGGCAACTCTCAGCCTTCCGCCAGGCCAGGAGGAGAAGGGGACTGGCCACATCCCACGTGGGAAGAGGCCCCCAGCTCAGGCTAGAAGCTTCCCTCACAGCCAGTGTTGGGTTGGGGTGGGGGGCAGTGGACATGCATCAGACTCCTTGCAGCGGGGAGGCTGGGAGACGGTGATGGGGGCTTGCATCTCTGGGTCCCCAGGCTTCCCAGATGGGGCCTCAGCCATGTGGATCAGCAGCCACATGGCTACTTACAGGTAAAAGCTGTGCCAGCGAGTGCGAGCTCCTGGACCTAGGAGACCAACGTGAGGGAGGTGGGAAGCCACTGCCCGCGACTTCAGAGGGCAGCCATTACGAGGGATGGGGCACAGAGTGCTACAGCCGGCCACACACTCCTGTAGAACCTGCTCCCTCTCTGGCACTTCCAGTTGCTCATGAACCCAGTGAGGTGCAGGCATGAATAGCGATGGGAGGAGGGTGGGGGAAGGGGCACAGTTGTGGTCCAAGGGTGACCATGTGCCCCATGGCCCCCAGCAAGCTTGCCTGTGGGGGTCCCTTCTCCCACAGTGGGGGTCTGGACAGCTGACTGACCGCTGTGTGTACACAGCCCTTCCAGAACGGATCTGTTCCTTCAAGATGAGGGGCAGATGCTAGGAAAATCCCAGGGGTGGGTGGGACCTTGGGCTCACTGGGTGCTCCCTTCCCTGACTGTGGCTCCTGTCACTCCAGGCTGACTGTTCCCTGAACTAGACCTGCAGACAGGCCTCGGAGGCAACCCCAAGGGGCTTCACTTCTCATGAAACAATTCATCATGCACTTAGACCAGGAGAGCTGTTTTATGGCTTTGTGAACAGATGAGCCCCTACTGTCTCATGAAAGATGGCGCTAGACCAGAGGCTGCCGTGAGCCTCATTATCTTGGGAAAGCCAGACCTTCCTCTCCAAGGTCAAGTAGCTTCTGTCTTGGGTGAGAGGCAGTGCAGGTGGACATGGATGGGTGGCTGGTTACAGACACAGCTACGTCATTAATTGCTTGACATTCTGGGAATGTCACGTACAGAGACCGGGCGCACAGAAGCTGTAAGGAAGATGGTGGCTCAAGAGAATGCATGGGTTGGGGGGGGAGAAATCGGTCAGGCCGTTTTCCGGTAGTCTGGGAAGAATACTTAACGTTTTTGCTTTGTGCTGGTCCTAGGGCTTAACCTCAGGGCCTGAGCACTATCCCTGAGCTTTTGGCTCAAAGTTGGTGCTCTACCACTTGAGTCACATCTCCACTTTTTGATGATTAATTGGAGAAAGGTGTCTCACTGACTTTTCTTGTCTAGGCTGGCTTTGAAATTCAGATCTTGGCCTCCTGAATAGCTAGGATTACAGACATGAGCCACCAGCACCTGGCTCAAAGGGCACTTCTGGCTCCCCCTCAGGCCTCAGAGTGAGGATTTCTGAAGCCGTATATGAGCTTCTAGACCTGAGCATGCCTGGGCAGGTGTAGGTGGCTTGTGGCCCACCAGCCTCCCAGATGAGTTTTGCATGCCAGGGGTTCAGGCTGGTGATCTGACCTGCTTCCTCTCCCGTCCGTGAGTTTCCTATCCCAGCCTGGCTTTGCTCTAAGTCCTGAGTTTGGAGCTGGACACCAGAATTACCCATTGTTTCCAGCCAGCCTAGGGCCTTCCTGAGCCACACACTGAGTGGATCTTGACTTCAGCTCTGTAGCAACTTCCGTTTTTGCACACTTCCTCTGCCCTAGCCCACCCTCTGCAGCATGTCACCCCAGACTCCATATGACTAGTGCCTCTGGCCTGGGTGCCTTCTCTGGCTGGGTGGCTGTCCCAACAAGGACACTGTGGTCACACCCATGTCTGGAGAGTGACAGTCTGGGGAACACTCAGGCAGACAGAGAAAAGGGTCCAAAAGCAATCAAATGCTATACTCAACAGCACCGAGACACTTCCCCACTCCCAGTTACAGCAAGGCAGCTTCCAGAACCCAGGGAAGGCAGCCCACTGCCATGGCTGTGTCTCCCGGGTTCCAGACCTGATCGGTCTGCAGTCATGCTGGCATGAGCCTGGGCAAGCCCAGTTGCAAACCTCTTCTGGCCCAATCCCCACCCTACCACCAGGGGGAGCACGACTCACGTTGATCATAGCATTCGACGTGATGCGGAAGAGGGTGGCCCGCTCGTTCACCACCTTCAGTTTCTCGCTGCTGTCCGGTGGGATCTTCAGGCTGTCCAGCTCATTCAGGGAGCGCTGGAGTGCGGCGCCATGCTTGGCAATGAGGTCGTTGCACGTGCTGAGGTCATCTAACTTCAAGGAGAGGTTCTTAAGAGTGTGGTGGAGCTCGCTCTTGTCAGCTGGGGAGGCAGGCTCTTCGTCGTCGTCCCCAGAGTCATCTGTGAAGAGGAAGGAGAGTTGCTGGGACTTGAAGGTGTAGCTTGAGGGGCAGAGAGCCTGCCTGGCAAGCCTGAGGCTCTGAGTTCAAACCCTGGTACTGCCAAGAAAGAATTGCAGTGATTTGTTTCCAACCAGTGTGGTATGCGATGGCCCTGTCTGGATGTGGAGAGTAGCCACTTGAAATGGTGAGTTCTATTCATGGTGCTGGATGCATGAAACATTCCAGGTATAGCAGTGCCCCTGCCTAGCCCTGGCTGGCGCAGGCCCAGTTGAGTCGATGGGAGGAGACATAAGGCGGAATGACCGAGCTTGGACTGGACCACCTTGTCTGTAGGCAAAGGAGGGTGGAACTGGGTAGCGAGGTGAAGGATTTCTCAGTGGGCACAGACACCCCGAGAAGAGAGCCAGGGCTCCTTCTCCTGACCTTGCAGGCCTATGTAGACTGACTGACCTCTTCCTGGCCAAATCTGGTCTCCTCTCCCTTCCCACAACCCCATCAACTAATCCTGTTACGGGCACACAGATACTTGAGTGTGTCATTGCCTAGGGACTTGCCCATTGGGTCCCCCAGCCTAGAACTTGCCCTCAATGTCTCAGCCCATTCACCCATGTGAGGCCCAGGGGCAATACCAGCCCGGTCTCCTGAGTCTGCCTGCAACACCCTCAGGCCTAGTTATGTCCTTTATCTCCCTCCAGCCAGCCTACACCCATGCAGAACCTGGTGTGTGTGCAGACAATGGACGGGGGCTGGGGACTAACAAAGTAGCTGACATCCTGAGAGGGAGCATCATGCCCAGGCTGCCCAGGTTGCTGGCCCAGGCTCTCCCTTCCCCATTCTCTACTTCTAGCTCTCACACTGTGGCCCAGGTATCCTCGGTGCTCCCTGTCCTGCCAGCCCAGCCTGGGTTCCCGGGGCAGAGAACACGGGGGGGGGGGAGGGGGGAGGCCTCTGCAGGCAGGTGGCCTGGCCCAGCTGCTGCTTTAATGCTGGGTGCCTGTCAATCCTGGAGCCCTGTGTTTGCCAAGGGGTTTCTGAAATGCCTCATTTCAGAAAAAGAAAATCTCCAAGACTTAAAAAAAATTTTTTTAGATGAACAAAATCTGTAACCCAAGATATAAAATTAAAAGAAGGAAGAAAAAAAAAGAATACATATTTTGAGAGAACAGATTTCTTCCCATGGCAAGCAAGGTGCGTGGGGGTGGGACGCAGCTGATTTTCGGTTCCCAGTGTCCCTGAGCTCATGGCAGGCCATGGCAGGGCTGGGTCAGCCAGCTGTGTGGGGACCGAGGGAGGGGGAGCCGGGTGTGTGTGTGTGTGGGTGGGTGTGAACTGCACACTTTGTCCCTGCTGGCCACAGAGGCCTTGGACTAGCACCCAGGCTAGGGGCAGAGAACCTCCCTCTGGGCCAGCCCATCTGCAGCTCCAGAGCGCCCAGTATCTGGAGAACACATGCTGGGCCACCGTTTTCACTGACTGGAGCTCTGAGTCTCCCAGTGGAGGCTTGGACAGGGGCCCTTCCTCCCTTCCTGAGGAGGAAGGAGACAAACAGGCTCCAAGGATTGGCACTGAATTGCCCAGGGCCATCGGGCAAGGGGATTCTGGAACAGCTTGGTCTGTCTGGCATCAGAACTTAGATTCTGATCATCTTTATAAATGATGGCCATGTATTCTCTCCCTAGTGCAATAACCCGACTGAGCAGCCAATAACCAGACATAATGGCCACCAACTGGACATCAAGAGCGCCCTGCAAGAACATGCTGATTGCAGATGACCCGCAATATGATCCCCAGTCCTCTGAGCAAAGCAGAGGGAGGGTGACATACAAAACCCCAGACAAGGAAGATAAGACTTAAGAGTCACTCTGGGCCTGTGCAGGAAGTGGCCTCTTTGGTTCCCTAACTCAGAGCTCAGATGGCCTGGGTCACTTCTTCCTGAGGAGGAGCTGGGCTTTGTTCCTAATCTTAGAGTTAGCTTATTCTCTGGGTTTCTCCTTTGCTAATAACTGGTGCCCCAGCTGGGTGCTGGTGGCTCAAACCTGTAACCCTAGCTACTAACAAGGCTGAGATTTGAAAGACCATGGGTCTAAGCCAGTCTGGGTGTAGGAAAGTCTGTGAAACTCTTATCTCCAAGTAACCAGCAAAAAGCTGGAAGTGTAACTGTGGCTCAAGTGGTAGAGCATTAGCTTGGAGAGAGGAAAAAAAAGCTCAGGGACAGTGTCAAGACCCTGAGTTCAAGTCCCAGGACTGGCATCAAAACAAACAAATGAATGTAGAAAACATCATCTGGTCCTGCTGTCTCTGTTGAGAGCAACCAGGGGCATTTGCAGATCGCTCTGGCCTTCTAAGAAGGAAGTCATTCTAAGGGAGGAGAGCCAGCCAGCCAGGGGCACACGTCCTGTTACAGAGGTGATAGCCAGAGCACCTGGAATTCCAGCATGGCTGCAAGCTCCTTCCCCCTCTACCAGCGCCTTCTCCCGTCCTGTCACAGTTACTGTCAAGCCCAAGCAAGGCAGCAAGAGATATCCAGATGAATCCTGAGCTATCGGTGACCCTCGTTCATGAATGTCCAAGTCAACCCTGAGACTGCAGTCCAGGCCATGAACAGGACATGTCAGGTCAGGTCTGGTCCATCTAGGTCCAAGCCTTTGTTTTCAGATGCATAAACTGAGGCCCCGGATCAAGCAGAAGGGTTGAGCAGAGGGCAGGGGCCAAAGTAACGATCACCAATCTCCGGCTGGAGCCCCTATCCGAACAGAAAAGACTAGTCTTTGAAAGCTAGATCCTCCGACATCCCGCAGGCTTCCCTGGCAGGAGAGAAGAGGACACACAGCTTGGGCACTGCTCCGATCAGAGCCACCCTGTGGTGGGCTGCTGGCCTTTGATCACCTGCTGTGCCCCGACAGGGAGCCCACAGAGGTTGCCAGCACTGTGAGGGCCCAGGTCTGTAGCAGCAAAGGACGCTGGGCAGAGGTGGCCTGTCTCACTTTCCTTCTCTGCAGAGGAAGGCAGGGGTGAGCAGGTGCTGGGCAGCAGCTCAGAGGAGGGGCCAGGCAGGGGACACAAAGTGCACCTGGCACCTGCTCTCCACCTGGCGGGGGGAGGGGTCTTTGGCCTATCCTTCCTGTCCAGTTTCACGCCTGGTTGGCCTGAGGCATTAAACTTCCAAGAAGGGAAAGAGAGCAGGGTGCCAGTGACTCATGCCTTAATCCTAGCTTACTTAGGAGGCTGAGATCTGAGGATCACGATTCAAAGCCAGCTGCAGCAGGAAAGTCTGTGAGACTCATCAACAGTTAACCACCAAAAATCTGGAAAGTGGAGCTATGAATCAGGTGGTAGAGTGCCAACCTTGAACACAAAAGCTCAGTACCCAGGCCCTCAGTTCAAGCCCCAAGACTGGCATTAAAAAAGAAGGAAGGAAGGAGGTAGAGGTCCTGGTCTTCCCTACTAGGCAAAGGAGGCTTCAGCGCTTTCCAAGACCAATGACTCCTCCCTGATGGTAGGGAGTTGGGCCTGCACCCCACTGTGCTTCCCCCTTTATATGGTATTCCTGAACCTACCCCACCAAGGTGACAAAGACACCAGGCTGTGGAGTGCAGAGAGAACAAGGGATTTGTCTCTGAGCCAGTCACAGAGCCTGGAAATGAGGCTCCTCTCTTGGATGGTGGAGCAAATGACTATGAAAGACACCTTCCCTCCTATTCAAACATGAAAACACCAATTCCTAAGATACCTATCACCTTTAACCAGTCACATGGGAGAATGAATTTTTTTTGTTAAAAGAGAATCAATTAGCTAGGCGTGGTGGTGCATGGTGTAATGCCAGCTACGTAAGAAGATCAGGAGAATCACAATTCGAAGCCAGCCCCAAAAAGTTAATGAGATTGGAAGAGGCAAGGGAAGGGGTGGACCTTGTCCAAAAAGAAATGTACTGTACTTGATTTATGTAATGGTAAGCCCTCTGAACGTCACCTTTATAACAACAATAACAATTTTTTTTAAAGCTAATGATATTTTTCTCAACCAACAAGCTGGGTTGGGTAATACATGCCTGTGATCCCAGTTACCCAGAAGGATTGTGATCCAAGGCCCTGAGTTCTGAGGTTTGACAAAAAGAAGAAAAGAAGAAAAAGAAGATAAATCCAGAAAACCAAGGCAGTGGTCACAACTTCTCTGTTATCTTGGTGGGGCCAATAAAGGGTGGCGTCCTTGTCCATAGGAGTGGGAGTTCCCAATGTTTAGTGGCTGTCCCCCACCCCAAATGTATGCCTTGTCCTGGAACTTCAGAACTTGACTTACTTGGAGGCATGAATGCAGGTTTGTTGGGGGCTGTCAGTACGGTTTGTTTTGGCACACTTCCCAGGGGGTGGTCCTTGGAGACCCTAGAGCTGATCCTGGGACTCCTTTCTGGACACAGACACCACTTAACTCTCAAGTCTCTCAGGCTCCCCTAAACGCCGGACACACATACCACCCTAGTTGGCCTTCTACAGGGAGAAAAGGGCCTGCGGCAGGGTTGGAGCCAAGTGTTTCTGCATCCAGGCTCTCATGATCTGGGCTAAGCATCCCAATTCTTACTGGGTACTGGGGGCATGCTAAGTATCCAGTGTATGACCAGCACAGTGCTGAGATCCCATACCCACCAGTGTCTTAGGGCTCACCCAACCCTCTGCCTCTCACCCAGCTCAGCACAGAAACCCCCTTAAACCGACTTCACATTAGAGACCAACACCAGAGAGAGCCCCCTGTTCTCTGTGACACCCCCTTCCTCCTCAGCATCTTTCTTAGCAGGATCTGGTTTAGGAGCCCCTGGGCATCTCCACCAGGTTCAGGACCCTCTTTCTCCAAGTCTCTTAGGAAAGACGGGTTGCCATGGCAACTGTGGTACCAGGTGGGCTATTTTTAGAAGTGGAGCTTTCTTTCATCTTTAAAGAAAAATGAATTGAGGGGAAGCCCTATTTGGGAAAGAGATGGGGAGGAGAGGGGAAAACTCTGGGAATT